GACAGTTGCAGGTCAGGCAACTGGAAAGAGAAAATGGATATAGACTGAGAGAGAGCAAGGACAGGCTGGAACCCAGAGGCACAAACTGGCACTCTTGTCAGTACTCACTGCCTCCAACCTCGGGGATGTGCGTGTCCTGCAGGAGAAGTTGTCGCTCTTCATTACAGAGCTAAACACACACCCAGCATGAAGGAGTTGGGAGAAGTTGGAGCAGTTGCAGGCCTGGTGCTGCCCCACACCCATGAGGTGAACTAGCAGATAAGCGACAACTTACCTGCACTACACAAGTGCCTGCTGCCATCTTCTAAGCATTAAAAACCTCAAAACGGCTACCTTTTCATTTGAGCCCTCAAAATCTTCCAAGTTAATAATGCCTTGTGGCCCATCTTAAATGGAAACATACAGGGAAAGAAATTCTGAGAAATACAGTTCAGCCTAACCAAGCTGACAACATTGCTAAGCCACCGCAGTCATTTAGTCCAAAGTGGCTTCTGCCTGAAACAGTTCAATAACAACCTCCTGGCCGGGCGCGGTGGCTCACGCCTGTAATCCTAGCACTCTGGGAGGCTGAGGCGGGCAGGTTGCTTGAGCTCAGGAGTTCGACACCAGCCTGAGCAAGAGTGAGACCCCGTCTCTACTAATAAATGGAAAGAAATTAGCCAAACAACTAAAATAAGAAAAAAATTTAGCCGGGCATGGTGGCACATGCCTGTAGTCCCAGCTACTCTGGAGGCTGAGGCAGGAGGATGGCTTCAGCCCAGGAGTTTGAGGTTGCTGTGAGCTAGGCTGACACCACGGCACTCACTCTAGCCTGGGCAACACAGTGAGACTCTGCCTCAAAAATAAATAAATAAAATAAAAAAATAAAAATAAAAACAAGCTCCTAATACTATTAATAACTGCACTGATCTTTTCACAGTCCTCATTATGCTCAGCTTCGTCCACATTTGACACTTGGGACCATCCTTTCCTTCTTGAAATGACCTTTCCCATTTTCTTTGATCAAACTACGCTCTCCTGGCTTCCCTCTCCCTAACCCTCCATCTTGACTCCTCTCTCCCTCTCTCCTTCTGTCTCCTCTTGTGTCATATGGGATATGGCTCCTTTTTCGCTTCCCGTCCCTAAGTGTGGATATTCACTAGTATTCTGTGTTTTCTCTCTCTTCTTCCCCTAAGTTCTCATTCCTGCTATCATGTTTACACAGTTTTAATCATTAGTGTCTTCCTGCCTCTGGGGACCTCCCCCTGGATATAATAAACAGGACTGAGGCATTGGATTCAACCAGCCCCGGATCCGAATCCCAGTGGTGCCACTCACTGCTTCACGACCCTGGATAGATGACTTAAACCATCCAAGTTTCGGTTTCTCTGTTAGTGAGATAAGCAATGCCGAGTTAGAAGGCATACCAGGAAGGCATGGAGCACCCCTCTGGAACACAGAGTCGTGCGATAACTATTAGGTCCCTTGTGTTTTCCTTTCCTTTGCTTTCCCATTCCATTCTCCGAACTACCACTGGAGTCATTTTCATGCTAGATGTTAATTCCTGTCTAAAACTAGTGATCAACTCCTCCAAGTTTTAACACTGAAATCTCTTCATCCAGGGGCTCCCCTCCGTTCTAGGCAAACCTAAAACTCTTCAGTGGCTCCACTTTGCCTACTATAATTTTTATGCTATGTTAATTAAATCTCTAGGGTACTATGAGGATGCTTCCAGTGGCTTCTGTAAACAAATGTGTTGGAATTCTATGAAATGTCCATTCTTTGAAAGGAGTGCAATGCTAAAATCCCAGGCTTAGAGGAAGGAGTTCAAATGCCATTGCACAGCACCCGGGGCCTTTCGTAATCTCGTTCTCATGCCTCTCCAGCCTCACTTCCCTGGCTTGCCCCCTTCTACTCTATACTTATAAGGCTTTTTATAGTCCCCAGAGGCAGCATTCTATTTCAGATCTCTGTGCCTTTAATATTCCATTCCCTCTGACCCACATGTCCTTCTCCCTCTTGTTGTTGGCATAAACTCCTGCTCCACCTTCAATACCCAGCTCTAACAACACTTCTGTTCATGCAAAAACAAACAAAGCCCCGCACTTTGCACATTGTAAAAACTCTATGTTTTTTAGAGTATTGTTAAAATTGGGAACTTTCACTATCTGTGCCTAATCTATATTTTCAAACGTATCTCTCCTTATTACTCATCACGCATCCAGCTGTGCACTCCCACTTTCTGCTCCCTGGATAGATGACTTAAGTTTCAATTTAAATGAAACTGCTAAGGGGAAGAAGAAGAAGAAAAAAGAACTCAATTTCCTCTTCTGTGATAGAAAAAGAGCAAATTTCCTTTTAAGTTTATATTTTCTATGTTTACAGCATAACACTATATATTGTGGCTTTTTAGAATAGTGCTGTTCAAAGATTGCAAAGCTATGTTGCACTTTTGCAACCCTGGACATATATGTGACACTTCTGAGAATCTTTATTTATTTAAGCCAAACAAAATAAAGCAAAACACCATAGTCTCTTGAGCTTCGTCACTGTCACTTGTTCATGGCCAAGCCAACATTCTTTGAGAGGAGACAATAGGGAAGATAATATTTCATATAAAGGTGAGAAAATTATGGCTAGCACAGGCTAACTAAATTATGCAAAGGCATATATTGAGATAATCGCACAATGAAGACAGAAATTCAGGGCTTTTTCTTTGTGCATACAGGGGGAGGAAAAGACCAGGCAGCTACTGACAGCCTAGCTTAGTACCCTATCTTTGTGCAGGCTGAATTTTTATTAGGATGACACCAGCGATGGCTCTATACTCCTAGCCCAGGTGAGGGAAAAGAGAGTTGGAGCGAGAAACAAGTAGGGAAGAAGAGATCAAGACAGGAAAGAGAGAAAAAGTGAGTGCTAACTAATTTTCTCCTCTCCTCACTTTGGCAGTGGCCAACTCTTGCTCACTCCCCTTGTGTTCTCTGGCAGAGAAACAGCACATTCCATTTGGCTAAGTCCGTGCCAGTGCAACATGTGTTATTTAACACCATGCAAAAAACAAGGTGGGGATAAGAGTGAGATTCATCAAAGGGATGGTTTTTTTCTTTCTTTTCAAAAATGGCAAGAAACATACTCAAGAAAGGAAATGATGGAACACATTAATATAGAGAATCATTATTCCCTCAGCGATTAGTCGCGAGAGCTAGAATCTAGTCCTATCTAGTCACACAACACAAATGGTTCAAGCTCTTTGGACTTCCATTTCCTCATCTGAAAAAGCAAGGGGTTGGGGTGGTTCTAAATTTCTACGGTTTTGTATTAAGATACTTCGAGGAAGTAACAAGGGAAGGAAAAAAAAACCTAACATTTATCAACATTTATCTTGTGCCACCCAAATGGCACAAGGGTTTCAAAAGCACAGACTCAAGCAGCCTCGTTTTGTGTGTGTGTTCTGCCACCTACTAGCTGTGTGACATTGGGCAAGTTACCTAACCTCTCTGTGTCTCCATGTCCCTAGCAGTAAAATGGGAACAATGGTACTTTCCCCAAAAGGTGGCTGTAAGGATTAAATGTTTTACACAATGTTGTTTATACATACAACACATACATACATATCAGAACAGTAACTGGCACAAAGTTATTGCTCTATAAATACCATTATAATGATTATTACAACTCTGTAGAGTTCTCCTTTTTATAGATGAAAAAACAAAAGAGATGAGAAAACCCAGGCTTCAGAGCCTTAAGTTCATCTGATCTCCATATTCAGTCTCTTAACTATTTAATATTTATTACCCTATGCCAATTAAAAAGATGTTAAAGTCACAGCATTTTATAGACGGAAATTCTATCAGTTACACAACCATCAGTCGATTAAAACCATCAGTTACACAACCATCAGTCAATGAATCTAGAATAAAGCCACATCTGTAAAGTCCTTTAACCCCCAGCATAGCTTTTGAAACAGTGTACTGGTAGCTAATTTGCCTAGGTAAAGAAATGCCCCAAAGAGATTACTCTAGTGTTAGGCTGAAGTCCAGTGAATAAGCCTACTTGAAATTCAGGAACATTTAAATCTCTGCTTGGATAAGTCTGTCTCTGGTCAGGAGGAGGAGACTGTTTGGAAGGAGGAGTTGGTAAACTCTTCCTTCCTCCCTAGTCACAAGACAGTTTTGATAAAGGGTGGGAGATGGAACACCATGTGGCCAACTTCAGATTCAGAAATTGAAACCCAGGAAGAATCCCATTTCAGAGTAAAATCAAGCACTACAGATGAGAAAACACAGACTGTAAGAATTATAGTACTATTTTATCTTTTTTTAGAGCATAAAATGTAAGAAACTGTGAAATTCCATTCTACTCACTAGCTCTCATTATGGGAAGAGGAACCTCAAAATAAATCAGTAGTTGCTGAGAGTTCCCAAGAGAACAAAAAACAGGCTGAATCTTAAAAGAGCTACGTGGTGTAAAAGAAGAATCCAAGAAGTAGTGAACTGAGACCACAGAAATGGTATTTGAGTTGAACTCATCAGTTCAACCAAGATTGGTTAGTTGCTAACTTTTTACCAGATACGCTGCCAAGAGCTGGTTTTACAGTTTTGATCAAACAGACATGGCCTCAGGGAATTTAGCATGCTAGCTGGGGGAGGTAGATATACACGAAAATAAATATATGTAATTTGTAAATTATAGTGGTACTATAACAGGGAAAAAAGAGGATGCCTGTAAGAAGATAACCAAGTGGAAAGCTTGGTTGCTTGGCTCAGGAAGGCTTCTAAGGAAGGCTTGACCAGATTGTAGGGGGAGCTGGGGCCAGGAGGGGGCTGGGGGGGTAGGGGATTTCAAGCATGTGAAATAGAAGATGTGAAGGTCCAAAACTAAGAGCAGCTGTAACCATCACAGGGCAAGTCTGGATCACTTGCCTTCCACCCTTTTTTTCTGTTGTGTTTTTCCTTGAGACAAGGTCTTGCCCAGGCTGGAGTGCAATGGCACGATCACAGCTCACTGTAACCCCAAACTCCTGGGCTAAGCGATCCTCCTGCCTCAGCCTCTCAGGCAGCCAGAACTACAGGCATGCGCCACCAATCTGGCCAACCTCCACGCCTCTTAAATCCCCTCTGATACTGAACATTTTGGAAAATCCTATATAGCATATACTGTGTGTCTTCCCACAATAATAATTTATGATTCTTAAATGTCATAAAAACAATTTCAATGGATGAATTCACGTCTTTTTTTTTTTTTTACCTACAGTTTGACGACTTCCTTAGTCCAAACCTGCACTCGCATCTTTCTCAGAGCACTGACTAGACAAAGCCAATCTCTCCCTTCCTGCATGCAAAAATAGCTTTTCCAGATCGACTGTTGTAATTGGCTTTTTTCCAGGGCTTTATGCTCTACTGAAACCAAACACTTAACTAAGCAATTTCACTCTAAGTTTAAACCCAGGAGAAATGACGACGTTTTTTTTTTTGTTTCTGTTTTGAGATTTGGGGGTGAATTCTGAAATCATTCATTTATAATTAATCCCCTGTAACATCGTCGAAGGAAAACACCTGCGATCCTCTTTCACTACTACCACATGCGTGAGTTAAGACAAATAAAATGCACATGAAACAGGTACGTTAGAGCCTTAGCAAAGCAGCCTCGTATTTGTCCTTCGACATAAATTTGGGACGTTCTGAAAAGGCCTTCCGACACGGTGACACGTTGCTCAGATCGGCCAGCAGAGGGCGACCAGGGCGCCGTGGAGCTCAGATGGAACCACGCCCAGGTTATGGTTGCTTATATCCAAGTGTCTCTTCTCTGAATTTTCGAAACACACAGAAGAAAATGAGAGTTTCTGGAAAAGAAACGCTTCCATTATTTTTATTGGGGTAAAACTCACACAACATAACATTAGCCACTTTAAAGTGTACAATTTAGTGGCACTTACTACAGTCACAATGCTCTGCGACCGTCGCCTCTATCTAGTTCCAAAACGTAAGAAATGTTTAAGTTTTCTAGTAAAAAAAAAAAAAAAAAAACCAAAACGTAAGAAATGTTTAAGTTTTCTAGTAAAAAAAAAAAAAAAAAACAACTTACAAAAAGCCCAGCCCTGTCCTACCCTCCTTATTCCGTGTCACCCCAGTTTTGTTTCCACCTGCGCTATGTCAGGAATGGGCCCTGCGCATTCCCCAAACAGCATTCCTCACCCCACAATGCACAGAATCTGAGCCAGGGTTTAAAACTACATGTTCGAAAACCAAAAAAACATCTCAGTTCTTTAGTTCTTTTTCTCTAGGAATTGCACAGTGACAACAATGGATAAGCCAGGATGTGGGTGACCGTTTAAAAAACAACCAAAAAAAAAATTCTGTACATACCATTGTTTGTCATTTCTCAGCAAAGAAATGAATACATTATTTTAATTGAAATATGGTTCCAAGACGGAAATGAACAAGGTGCTCCATCAAAACCAGGTCCAGTCTTTGGTGGGAAATTCACAGTTATTTCCACCCAGGGTGAAAATTTAAGTTATTTCTAGGTTAGACCCGGAGCCAAGATTTTGAGGGCACCATGTCAACTGGTTAGATGACAACTTTGAGGAAAGCAGGACTTAATAGTTCATGAAAGGAAAGCAGAAGGTTTGTGCAACCTAAATCCACTTTTTTATTAAAGAAAATTTAATCTACTTCTTGGGGTCTTGGCCCAGGGAAGGGTAAAAAAAAAAAAAAAAAGCCAAACTGGGGGGGGGGAGGGGAATTGCTGGTGGTGACTCTGGGAAGACAGAAGGGAGGGAAACTGAAGCTCGAATGAGGCCGGATCCGCCCTAACAAAGAGGCAGAAACTGTGTCTCAACAGCCACCAGATCCAGTTCAGGGCGGTTTGAGCCAGTTTCTGAGCTGGATTGAGAACAACAGCCTCGGCTGAGACTTGACTAGGGTGAAACGGAAAACACAAAATGGACTTCGAAAGAAAGAACCGGGTTTGGCCTGGACTCGCTGGAGCCTGAAGCTGTTTCCTGGAGTAGCGAAGTCAGATAAAATGTCAGGCCTGGAGCCGGCGCGGTGGCCTGGGGACAGGAGGAGAACTTACGGAGCACTGCCTGTGTGCCACGATCCGGTCCGCATTTTCTCTCTTACTGCTCCTAATCGTGGCTGGTAAAGGGAAAAAGGGCCTCAGGGTATCAGTTTTCAGAGAGAGCTGGCTGCGGCGTTGGGGGAGGGGAGGATAGTGTGTCACCGGTAGTTCCGTGGGTGGTTTAAGGCGTGTGCGCTGGGGGGAGACGGGAGAGAGGGTCTGAGAGAAAGGGAGCAACACTTCACACCCTGCAGTTCACACCACCTCTGCTGCATTGTTGCTCAACCCCAAAGTGCACTGCGCATAGCTGCGGTGGGAGTGCCCTACCTGCGGTTGTCATCTGTACCCCAATTATCACACCTTCTCAAGCCCTGGGCGTTAAGGGGCAATCTGCCTACTCAAAACTGTCAACATACTCTCCTCATCTGTGTCCCAAAATACGTACAAGCTGTACCCAACCTTCTCGACTAAGAGGCGCAGTGGCGTTAGGTGACACTGGAGTGACAATCCTGCCCTCTGGCTCCCCTCCCCCCACGTGCCAGAACCCCCTGACATCTCGTCAGTCCCACCCTGAAGCGGCTCCTCTCACCGAATGTCTAATCTGAGCCGTGGTCCGCAGCTGTCGAGGGTGTGCACATCCTGCGGCCAAGTTCAGCGCAGAACTTTCCAGAGCTGGTGCATTCCTGCCCCACCCCCTCACCCTCCCCCCCAAAAGCTTCCTGTGAGTCAAAGTCCAGGTCTGCCTGGTGGGATGGAGGCTGTGTGTGTGTGAGAACTCCCTCTGCCCTGAGTGGCCAAAGATGTTTAGAATCTTCCAGAGGCTCCCTCCACACCCCCAGGTCTTCTCTAACCGGAAGTGAGCCCTGGGGCTGGGGAGTGGCGGCCCATGGCGCTTACAGATCTCAGCGACACAGGCTCAACTAGGAATTGTCTGCAGGTTTCAGAAGCACCCTAAGAGATTGGGGGCGGGAGAAATCAGGCTGAAAGATGTCAAAAATGCCATTTTAGTCTTTTTTAGCATAGACACATCTAGAGACAACTGGACCGCAACGCACTCTGCGTTATTTATGTGCGAAAACCCAGCACACACAGAACTTGCTGGCACGTTCTATCTGGTGGTCATTACACAAATAAATAACTTACGAAGCACTTCTGCATGCATTTCATTAACTGTTAGACTCTGGGCTGCTATGGACTGTGCTGGAAGGTTTCTCTGTTGTTTGGGGGTTTTTTTGTTTTTTGTTTTGGTAGGAGATGATACTTTTACCCCCATGAAGAGAAGATGCAGCAGGCTAGAGAGGAGGTGATGGGAATAGTACTAATCACAGAGCTCCCTGCAAACCGGACACCTACCAAGTGTTTCGTATCTTAAAACGCCTTATTCAGTACTCACCCTAACTCCCTAGGCTATGATCGGTCCCATTTCAGAGATGAGGAAAATGAAGTTCAGAAAGAGTAGGTATTTTACTGTAAGGTGTCACACGTGGCAGGCAAAGACACTGGCTCCGAAGCTTTTAAACCGGAGTCTACACCGCCACCTCACTGGCAAGCGGTTATATAAACCCTTCTCCAGATCCTACTAGGTGTCGGTGGTCACAGGGAGAGGGGAAGAATTGGTTCTCAGCGGTGAGAACACAGCCGGTTCCTGCCTTCAACGAGCTTTCAGTCTACTGGCTGTTTTTCTCAAGGACAATGCAGAACTGTCTGGCAAGGGATTATTTTTCTTCTGTCTCTGGGCCTCAGAGGCCATCTGGGAAAGGCAGTTTGGAATTTCCCTGCCATTTCCGCGCCGGCCGCGCGGGGAGGAGCGTCTGCACCCGGGCCGGGCTGGCGGCAGCCGGCTGCGCGGGCGGCTCGGGCGGGCGGGGCGGAAGGGGGCAGGGCGAGGCCCCCGGGGAGCCGTCGCCATGGCAACCGGCCTGCTCTCCAGAACGACGTCTCCAACCCGGAAAAGCAGCCCGAGAGCGCTTTCCCTCCGCAATCCCCACGGCCTGCCGGGCCAGGGGACGCACACAGGGGGGTTCTTTCTCTGTAGAGAGTTGACTCTTTACTAGGCCAAGAACAAAGGGAGACATTTGTCGTCCGGGGTCTGTCTTTGTAAGGGGCCGGAATAAAACCAACAACGCGAGGTTCCTTAGTTCCTCTCCACCATCCACAGGAAATGAACGCTGTGTTGTCACGCAAGGTTCCTTTTTTGTTTTTTAAAAATACATTTGTGGTGACTTTTATCCCCATTTTACAGATGAGGGATTAGTAAGCATGAACGGATCTGACGTCTGTAAAACTATAATTTTAAAAACCCGGGCGTCCTTTTCGAAGGGTTCCTGAAGGTGGCCCTGCCATTGCCTATTTTGTGGTGATAATCCTGCCACAGAATGTGAAGAGGGCTCGTGCCCACGTGCTGGTGGCCTTGGGAGCCACCGGCGCTGGCTGGACTGGCCGCCCGCGCTCCGCTTCCCGCCGCGCGCCCCTCCCCCGCGCCGCCGCCGGGGGCAGGAGGAGGAGGAGGAGGAGGAAGGCCGAGGGCATTCCAGCCCCACCCCCGCAAGCCTCCACAGCCACGAGCTCGGAAACTCCTGCTCAGCGGGGCTGAAAGAAGACTGTGAGCAGGCCGCCCCGTGACTGTGCTCCAGGCTTGCCGATGATACACCCCGACTACACCCTGCGCGTGGAAGGCTGTCCCCGCGCTCGGCGGCCCGGGTGTGGCCTCCCTGAAGAGGAGGGCAAGGGTCTCCGTCGTCAGTCCCCACCCGCAAGACTAGGACCAGAGCGGTTGCTGTGAGCGGAATGACAAATGATCTTCCATAAATGCCCGCACTTAACAAGGAATGTAATTTTTTTTTTAATAGTTACAGGCACCAGAAAGGTTTAAGAGTCCCGCGCCTGCGTCTAGGTGTCCTCGAGGAGCCCAATCCGTTATAAAAATCCGCGAGACCAAAATAAAATTGACCTATACCTCGGCTGGAGTCCGTTTGTGCAGTGGTGACGGAGGGGACGACTATGTGGGAATGCCTGAGGCGCTTCTTCAAACCACACTTTCCACCGCACCCCTGGAGATTTTGTTGCCCTAAGGTACTTAGTGAAAGGAAATGTCACCTCCACTCCTCAGGAACGAAGCTGAGAACCACCGCCAGAGAACCTCTTTAAGGAGTGAATTGGATGAACCATTGATAAGAAATGAAGGCCTAAATAGGTTGTCTTTGCCACAGTTATTTGTATTTCAATACTGTTAGCTTACCCTGCTTTAGGAAGTGAAAGCAATGAAACTTTATAGTGAATTTTTAAAGACCCTTACATTGTTATAATTCTCCTCCCCAAAGCTTGAACCTTGTAGTTTTCAATAGTAATTGGACATATCCTTTTTTTTATTATTTGAGACAGAGCCTTGCTTTGTTGCCCAAGCTAGAGTGAGTGCTGCCTCAGCCTCCCCAGTAGCTGGGACTACAGGCATGTGCCACCATGCCCGGCTAATTTGTTCTATAGTATTAGTTGGCCATTAATTTCTTCTATTATAATAGAGACGGCTGCCTCTTGCTCAGGCTGGTTTCAAACTCCTGACCTCAAGCAATCTGCCGGCCTCGGCCTCCCAAAGTGCTGGATTTAAGGCGTGAGCCACCACGCCCAGCCTGGACATATCCTTGAAAACTCCCTAACAACCAGGGTTACAATACTAATCGCTATGCTAGACTGGTGAATTTTTTAAAAATCACATAAAGCATGGAATTTACTTTCAAATATCTTACAGGCTCAGAAGGAAGATTCACAGGAAATGAGCTATTGTAGAGTGACGTGGCCTGTGCTTTATACTCCTTTATAGGAACAAGAGGATCTGCTATGAGAGAAGAGAGGAGGGACATGGAAAACAAAATAAGGTTGGGGGAGGAGTGAGATAGCCAGAGAGCTTCTCAGAAAGACTTGAAAAATTAATAAGGAAGACCTTCATCAACCTAATACGAACCTTTTTTTTTTTTTTGAGGCAGAGTCTCACTCTGTTGCCCAGGCTAGAGTGCCATGGCGTCAGCCTAGCTCACAGCAACCTCAAACTCCTGGGCTCAAGCAATCCTTCTGCCTCAGCCTCCTGAGTAGCTGGGACTATAAGCATGCGCCACCATGTCCCGCTAATTTTTTCTATATATTAGTTGGCCATATAATTCTATTTTTTTAGTAGAGACAGGGGTCTCCCTCTTGCTCAGGCTGGTTTGAAACTCCTGACCTTGAGCGATCCTCCCACCTCAGCCTCCCAGAGTGCTACAATTACAGGTGTGAGCCACCACGCTTGGCCGACAAATATTTTATCATCTCAGTTTCAGTGAGTCTGGAATGCAGGAGCAGCTTGGCTAGGTGATCCCGGCTCAGGGTTTCTGATGAGGTTCCAGTCAAGACATTCGCTGGGGCTGCATTTGTTGCAATGAAGTCTTGAGTGGGGCTAGACAATCTGCTTCCAAGATGGCTCACTCACATAGCTGTTTGCAGAAGTTCTCAGTTCACTGCTGGCTCAGAGCAGGAGCCTGCAATCACTTGCCATGTGGGCCTCTCCATAGGGTTACCTGAACGCTCTTGTGACATGGTAGCTGGCTTTCCCCAGAGTGATCCAAGGACTAGAACAAGGAGGAAACCATAATGACTTTATATCCTAATTTCAGGAGCAACACACTATCGTTTCTAACATGTTCTATTCATTTAAAAGTGAGTCACTAAGTAGAGCGCACATTTAAGAGGAGGGAAATTAGGCTTCAATTTTGCAGGGAGGGAGGAATATTAAAGAATTTGTGGACATATTTTAAACCAGCGCTGATGTGACGGCAGGAAGTGCTGTGTCCATATTGAGATAATTAGAGGATCCAGCCTAAGGGTAAGCCCTCACATAGAGTAAAGAGAAACAGCCATGGAAAGAATCTTGATGACATTATGAGCTATTGATCTTACCATCCCTGGAACCTACTGTTAGGGACCGACCTTCCACAGCCCCACCGGACAGAAAAGCAGAGACACCAAGGATGCAATCACACAAGAGGAGGTTTATTGGCTAGCCAGGTCCAAGCCCCAGAGCACCAACGCAGTGCCGCTCTCGCAGGCAAGGACCCGATCGGAACAAGGGCATGCTTTTATCCCCATGGTGCACAAGCTGCGCACAAGCTGACTACGCATGGATCATGCGTTGACCTTTAAAATGATTGGTGCCCACTATTGCCTTTGTAAAATAATTGGCGGGTTGGTTGCCCTCTATTGCCTGATGGGCCAGTCGCCTGTGTCAATGACCTCATCCATAATTCCCATACAGCGGTGTAGCAAGCAGCAATGACCAGAAGCAAAAGTTTGCCGTTAGCTCATTGCCCACCCAGGTAAATTCCCGACAATTGGAAAATTCCTCTGCCCTCTTTCCCTACAAATTCCTCTGCCCTTCCTCTGCCCTACACTCCCCTGGGCTACTAGTTATGTAAGAAGTAAATTTCTTCTCTTATCATTTCAGCCTATTTGAAATGGGATTGGCTGATATTTGCTGTTGGGAGTGATAGGCAACACATCTAATCATCAGTGTATGTTATAAATGAACCTATATATCTCTGTATAAATGCAAAAAGTTTTGAAAATATATTTCCCATTTCTAAATTATAAAAATTATATTCGTATAAAATTGTTTATTCAATTACATATACAGTTATGTATGTATATGAAACTGCTTACCATGTGATAAAAGTTTAGTGCAATTTTTTCTTCAAGTTATTCTAATAATTTCCAAATAATTTGATTTTTAGAAATCTTTGGTGTTACCTTTTAATGCAATTCTAACTAACTAAATGATGTGTCAGTTTAAGCCATTATTTCACAGAAAGAACTGCATAAAACTCTTCCAACATGTCAATTGAATCGATAGATTATTAGGTGGCTTATCATTTAAAGAAGTCTTCAATTATTCTTAACACCAGTGGTGTTATTCATGATGCTGATGTCTCAGTGTCTGCTGAAATAAAACCAACTCCATTCATAAATCTTCCAGTTAGTCATTATAATAATTGGGTTTTTATATACTCAATATATATATCATCAACAATTAAATATAAAACATTATTGAGAAATTAAGACAAAGGTAATCCTTGCCTGGGTTCAAACGCTGGCTTGCCAGATATATTTTAAATATTTCTTTTGTGCCTCACTTTTCTCATTTGTAAAATAGAGTTGATGATGATAATTTTATTTTATTTTGTTTATTTATTGTTTTTGCTAGAAACAGGTTCTCACTCTGTTGCCCAGGCTGGAGTGCAGTGGCTTCATCATAGCTCACTGCAACCGCAAACTCGTGGGCTCAAGTGATTCCCCTGCCTCGACCTCCCAAAATGCTAGAATTATAGCATAAGCCATCATGCCCAGCCAATGATAATAATTTTAATTCTCAAATGCATTAATATACTTTTAGAATGGAACCTGACACAGAGAAAATGTTTGTAGGTGTTAATTTTTTTATTAATAAAATCAGTGTTAATGTCTTTGATCAATGGACATTCAGTGACTTTTAACGAACTCATCAAATAGAAGTGAAATTGAACAATGATATTTAAGAGTTGTACCTATACTTCAGGTAACCCTTGGCTCCAAACTGCCCCCAAGATTACCTTATCTTTTCCTGCATCCCACCTCTTGTTTGGGGAGTGTCTGCAATGCCAGCAGCCAATACAGAGCTCTAGCCATGGCTGCACTTGCCCCTGCTAAGACCTGCCCAGCTGCAGTTTCTCTCCCTGTTTTGCACAAAGCCAAAATTAGATTGCAGTTTCCATAAGCAGTCATGTCACTCAGTGACATGGCGGGTTGGTTGCCCTCTATTGCCTGATGGGCCAGTCGCCTGTGCTTCAATGACCTCATCCCATAATTCAGCAAAGGGTGGGTGACCCTAGCCCCTAAAGGCCAGGTGGCCCCTTGGTGTTTGATGCTCCAGCACCAGTACTGTATAAAAGCCCTGTGTTGTCCCTGAGGGGGCGGGGGGTTGGAGCCACTCTCACCAGGCAGTGGAGGTGTAGGGAATGTGGAATACCTATTGGGGGCAGAACTCTGTCCCAGTAGTGGCTGGCATGGACATCAACCAATCAGAAAAGACACTGGTCACAGTACTGGAGCAGGTTTGTTAACCCTTAGTTGCTTGACTTTAGGAGGGTCTGAGAGGTGACAGGAATGTACCAGGATGGTTAAGGCTGCAGGAACAGGAGAGGGACTTAGGGCAATGGTTCTGTACTTATTGCCAAAGACGTATTTAAACACACACTAGTGCTTCCATGTCAGTACAGAACAGACCTTGATACAGAAGGACACTTGTGTTTGAGGACCATAGTTGTTAATTTACTTTTACAAATGCTTCAGCACACCTCAGATTGCTGATTGGGAAAAATGTGTGTCATGTGAGGTAGTTCAGAAGATCTCCACATGAAGCTTGCTCTGGTCATGCAATGATTTTTTTTAAAATTCATTTTATTATTTGTTTATATTTTTTAAATTTATAAAGAAAGAGTAATAAAGTATGGAGACTGTTATTTAATTTAATTAATTTATTTATTTTGAGACAGGGTCTCCCTCTGTTGCCCGGGGCAGAGTGCAGTAGTATCATCATAGCTCACAGCAACCTCAAACCCCGGGCTCAAACGATCCTCCTGCCTCAGCCTCCCATGTCGCTGGGACTATAGGTGCAAGCCACCACACCTGGCTAATTTTTTCTATTTTTGGTAGAGATGAGGGGTGGGTCTCACTCTTGCTCAGGCTGTTCTTAAACTCCCCCTCTCGCCTATCCTCCCAGAGTTAGGCGCGTGAGCACTCTCACCAGCCCATGCTACTCTTAAGTAAAGTAGCTCAAGGTCACAGAGCCCTTTCTTGGAATTATTTGCATATCTATGCTAAGGGGGAATAAATAATCTATGCAAATCTACTGCCAGAGGCTCTTTCTCTAAGGCAGATATCTTCCCAAAGAAATAAAAAGAAAACGTGTCCCTTTATATTTCAAATAAAACAAAAGAGATCCAGCAAACTGGTATTAACTGAGTAGCACCTAAGTGGACACATAGGTACTACAGTAATAGGGTATTGGGCAGGGGGAGGGGAGGGGGGTATACATACATAATGAGTGAGATGTGCACCATCTGGGGATGGTCATGATGGAGACTCAGACTTGTGGGGAGGGGGAAATGGGCATTTATCGAAACTTAAAATCTGTACCCCTATAATATGCCAGGGGGGGGGGGGGAAGAGAGATGCCCTGAGATTCCACAAGGGTGGAATTTTAATTGGATTTCACCATGACAGGTTCCCACCATTCAGTAAGCAGTGAGGGGAAAAAAACAAAACAAAACACTCTAGGTATTTCAAGCAGAAGAGATTTAAATGAAGGAATTGGTCGAAGCTGTTGGAAAGTCCGGAGAGGAAGGGAAGGTTACTGAATGAGCAGTAACTACTACCGATTCTAGACTGGGGAAGCAGGATCATTAAGCAGAGGCCAAGGGTGTGTGCAGCTAGGGCTTCTGTTGTCGGAGCCCAGCTGTCTGAGCTGGAGCCCGGAGCTTGCGAGTGCAGGCTGCTGTCTGAGCCACTGTAGCTTCGTCTGCTCCAGATTTTCACGACTGGTGTTGTCTCTGCCACCAGTACTGTTGCTGCCTCCATTCTTTCATCACCGGTGTGTGCCGTACTGGAACTGGTGGAAATAACTGCTATTACAGCCGCTCAAAAGTGGGAAAAGAGTCACTTCTCCCTCCCTCTTGCCTTTAATTTCCTTCCATTGGCAAAAATCTGACCAAAAAAATCAGCTGGCGGCTATAGATTACAGAATCCAAACACTTTACAACACACGGCAGAGCACAGAAGGGTGAGAATGAGAGTAGAGAACAAATAATTAACCAGCCTAAGAGGTTGCAAGGAAGTTGCATTGCATGGATCCTCAATTGGTGAAGACAGTCCCTCACCTTGGCGTGGAAAAGGGTCTCTATAGAGGCTCATTGGTAAACCTGCCAGCAGTCAAGCAGTCCCTCAAGAGTCTTTTCTTTCTTTTTTTAGAAACTGATTTCAATCAATCTTATTTCCATCTTGTTTAAGGGCTCCGGACATTCTGGGAATCCAGAACAACGCCGTATGGGCCCTTCTCTGGGTAGCGGGGAAAGGAAAAGCCCTCAAGAGTCTTCAACCTCAGACACTGAGGGAGCAGTGCTATGTCAGGAGACTAGGAAACTTCATTTTTTTTTTTTTTGACAGTTGTTGGAGACTAAGACCCTCCACATCCCAACGACTTGTCCTACCCACGGGCCTCGCCCGGGAAAATAGCCTAAACGAAAATAGCACCCAGCCCTCCAGCTATAGTTCCAAGAAGAATGCATTCCATGACGTGCTTGCTTCAGGGCATGCTACCTGCAATTGTTCCCGACCCCCTGCCAGGTTGAGGTTGAGTGATCCATCACAAACAGCTTCCGATGCCATGAGACGGCTTTATTTTTGGCTGATTGGCCCACACCCAAGCCTCATCATCCCCCCACTCTATTTTTCTGTTTCTACTTCCTTGTTTCTGTATATAAAACCTACTAAGAATCCAAGTAAAGTAGACCTTGACAACCATTTGCTTGGTCTCGTTCCTTTCTATCGCCCATCTCTTTCAGGCACGGTCCCCCTCGACCCCCGCGAGTAACAGAAGGTCCCGCGGGTCGGGACAGACAGTCTCATTTTGTTGCCCTGGCTAGAGTGCCATGGTGTCAGCCTAGCTCACAGCAACCTCAAATTCCTGGGCTCAAGCAATCCTGCTGCCTCAGCCTCCCGAGTAGCTGGGACTACAGGCACGAGCCACCATGCCCAGCTAATTTCTTCTACATATTTTTGGTTAGCCAATTAATTTCTTTCTATTTTTAGTAGACACGGGGTCTCACTCTTGCTCAGGCTGGTTTTGAACTCTTGACCTTGAGCGATCCTCCCGCCTCAACCTCCCAGAGTGCTAGGATTATAGGCATGAGCCACCACACCCGGCCCCCCTCTGGCCTTTTTCTCTTAGTGCCCTAAAACTTCTGTCTTATTGTTATTAAAATGATCAAAGTGCAATCCTGTCCAGTGATGAAAGGCTTCCTTACTTTTGGAACTCTAAAACAGTATGCAACTCATATTAGGACAATATGGCTGGAGAGGATAAGGTGTACTATCAAATACTAGTCTTAAATAGAATGTTACAAGGGTAGACAGTCTGGGGAAATAAGCTAAGACCAACCAAATGAGAATAAGCAAAGACTATTTATTCAGAGGTTGCTATAACAAAGGAATCAACCACTGTCACTTGTGCATTTGGCAGAGACTCAAAAGCAGGCAGAAGAGTAGGAAAGTTTTACAGTAGAAAAAAGGGAAAGTGTCAACTGTACCCCAATTAGAGGCTGTTGGCATGGAGAAGTTGTAGTCAGGTAAACTAGAAGTGGGGAATCCTATGTGATTCGTTACGGGTGCATATTTGGCTTTCTCTGATTGGTACTAAGTTGGAAGCAGGGACAAAAGTTAAGGAAGCTGTCAGTTATTAATCAAGTCCTGGCCATTTGGCTGTTGTCACAGGGAACAACCGTTAGGCCTCTTGGACTATCACTAGAGATAGCAGACTGTCCTCCTAGGCAGGTATTATAAATAAGCTGGTTGCTGCACCTTATCAGTGAAGGAAGAAAAAAACCTTTCTCTACCCTCTTAGGTTTTGTACCTGGGGACTGCAAATTAAGCTGACAAGTGATAGATTAACAGGAGAAAAATATATAATTTTATTTGATGTTAATATTCTTACGTGGCAAAAAGGGTTTTATTGAGAAGAAGTGAAAACCTCAAAGACACAGTTAGACTCAGGAGCTTATATACCATTTTAACAAAGAGTGATAAATTGTGGAGATGTGACTAGATAACAGAAAGGTGTGTGGGCTTGTAAGGGTGGTAAACTGTGGGGAATTGAATAGGAAATATATGGGGAAATCTACTGGAAGGTAATGGTTATATTAGTAAGAGTTTGTGTGTGTGCGCAGACTCACGTCAACTCCTCATTTCCAGTGATAAGAATGTTTTCTTCCTGGTTATAGGAGGGCATCTTTCTCATGGAAAATGCATGCTCTGCTTTTAGGCAGAAGGGTGGAAGGCAGAAAGCTTTTGCTATTTCTCTATTGCCTGCATTTTAAAATAATCAATATCTTAAAGCAGCATATTTTGGGGTGGTATGCTCTGATTTCTTTCATGGGTCAGAGTTCTATTTTTATATATGGCCTGGCCATTGTCCACTGATACATTCAGTCTTTCAACTCCAAATGCAGGCTTGAGATCACACTCTTCTGACATAGACAACTCTATTAAGCTGCTGCAGAATGAAGCAGTGGGAATTTACTTATTTCATGATGGTTAATGATTCTTTTGAGCAGCACTGTGGCCAGGGTGAATAGTAGTAAGAGGAAAACAATGTAACCAACTGATTTCCCCCAAGATATGAGGGAAAAAAAATTATAGTTGCTTTACAACCTTACAGGGGGTATTTGAATTTCCCAAGTTAACACCTGACACCCCATTTGCAACTCTAATGGGTAGAATTTCAAACTTGAAAAAAATGGAGAATTTGGGGCAATTATTTTGGGGCAGGAGTGCTTTCCAGGTCGTTGGGCTCTTGGGCTAGATTTTTTCAGAAGTGTATCCTAAGCAAAAGATGTAATGCAGGTAGTTTGAGAGGTAATCACAGGAAGCATTGCTGGGGAGAGAGGAAATAAGATGGGAAGGTAAAGGAAGCCTAGATCACTTGGGTTAATTAGCAAGTTACTGGTGGGGGCAATGAGGCTCAGTCATGCTTAGAACACTAGGAGTTGTCCCACTTTAGGGGAGAAGAAGCTAGGGTATTTATCCTCTAATTTTGGTCAGTCATGAATTTATGGTGGCTCCCAGGGCCGCTAATTCTCCAGCATTTAGGATTTGCTCTGCACCTGGGCTGAGAGAATGCCCTCAGGCAGACTGTGCTAGCAGTAGGACACTGTCTGCTTGTAAAAAACAGTGAGTGTTGTGAGCATGGTACTGACAGTATCTTCCACACTGAACAAGAATGAGGGCTCTGATTCCCTAGAAAGTATTGAGATCTAAGCGAATCCAAAAGTAGTAATACATTACAGCAACTGTTCACATCGCCTCCCTTCTTTCTCCCTTCCCTGTAGGTATATGTTTAGTAAATCCCAAAAATATGCCATAGGTCTGACTTCATTTTCATTTACACCCCATTATCAGGCTCTGACCTGTTCTTTAGTTCTTTCAGAATTAATTGTTGCCAACTGAGCATAATGTCTCCCGTGTAGTAGGCAATATGCTACGGGAATATATCTTTCCTCAGCTTTTAAATACTCAATAAATCTGGACATTTCCCTGATTTCTAAATAAATAAATAAATAAATAAATAAATACTCAATAAAAAACAAACAAAAACTGGGTCCTAGCCCTTTCCTGGAGTGGAGCTCTACCTGACCAGGGGTTTTGCTTTGGGGGAGCTCAAATGGAAATAGATAAACAGACTATCAATAAAACTAATACTCTCCAAAGCTGTTACCCTGGTGATACAATAGCAATCTTTATTGTTTGCTTTTAAAACATTATGGTTGCCTGATTAGGTAGCATGATTGACTTAAAACACAAAAACATTAAAGCAAGAAGCAATACGAATCAGAGTAGAATTTCTGAATAGTAAGTGCATATGTATTAAGGTATTGTGGTTAAGCTCTTGGGCTCTAGCAAGAGGCAGATTGGATTACAAACTTGCCTTCCCCACTTACCAGCTGCATGACAGTGAGACTGATACTTCTCTAAACCCATTTCTACGTCTATAAGATGGAGATCACAACGGTGCCACCTTCCCATAGTTCTTAGGTAGATTTAGCAGGATAATGCATGTGACGCTGGTGGAATAAAGGTGACTTACACAGGTCATAAACCCAATGTGTCAGTCAGGGTTCAGTGAGGGAACAGAGCCAGTATGAGGGTTATTAGGCAAGGGATTTATTACAGGGATCAGAGTTTACAAACTGTGGGAGGAGTTGAGAAAGTAAAGATCTGGATGGGGAAGTTGGAGGAATTGTCACTAAGCAGGCCTCCTAAAGCCCTGGGGTGAGTAAACAAGTTGAAGCTTGCAAGAAAATCTGAGAGGCCCAATCGCCAAAGTGAGACTGCAAATGGGGAGCTTCCCAAGCACTTTATGGGAAGCTGTGCCTCTCTTAGGACACCTCCGTGTGTACACTGCTAAGTGTCTGGCAGTGGGACTGCAGCTACTATTGGTCAGCAGGCCTAGCAGTTGGGAGAAGAGCCTGCTGTGGGAACAAAGCTGAAGAACGCAGACAAATTAGACATGCTCTGCGCCTTGGCAACTCCCTGTCACCACATGGCAGGATGAAGATCCAGCTAAAACTTCCAAGAGGGAGAGACAACATATCAGGGGACAAGGAGCAGTCCTTGCCACTGTCCTTTCCACATAGTGACCCCCTCCCTGGAAGAGATAACTCCAAAGTGTCACCTGGTTACTGCCTTAAGCTCAGAGTCTGGAAAATTCTGGGTGATATTCAGTCATCTCCATCTTGTCAGGATGTGGCTCTAGTGCTCCAGAAACTCATAACCCAAAAGTTTATTTGCCCTACCTCCTCACTCATACTCAAAATGCCACATAACGGTGAAACAGGA